TTAAAATGAGCCCTCGCTTTGCCGATCAGGTCACCTTTGACCGCCGAAGCCGTGCGGATCAGGCTTGGAGCGGGGTTGTAGTGAAACAGGGTTGGGAGCCTGTGATTGTGCTATTTCGGGGTTGCCGCTTTCCGGTGTAAGCGCTGTGTAGACTGTGGCGTGGTGTATGTGAGCAATGCATAGGTGCTGTGGTGTGTGCCAGGCAAACCATTTTTTGATGAGGAGCGCTTCGCGGTGCCTTCGGGAAAAACACCAAAAGCAGCGTGCGGTCGACACAAATGACCGACGCGGAAGTTTTAAGCTTTGAAAACGCAGAATTCACGTCTACAGGACAAACCTTGAAACGTAAGCATGGTTATAGTTATTAGAGTCATATCTAACTTACAACTTCATGCTAAGATAAGTATGATAATTAGCTGTGTGACAGTTATACTCATAACTCCATCAATATTTAGTTGACGCTTAGTAATGCAAACATTCACAGGGGTATCGTGGAAGATCCAGTGCGTTGGATGTCAGGTCAGCCTGTGAAGTTGTAAAATCGTATTATGTCACAACGTGGAATCCCAGTCGGTGCATGATGCGCGAAAAAGTTCAGCATTGTTCAACATTCACGCAGCCACACGTGATGCTGAATATTCCGTACGCATAATTATGCTAGTACTTTGAAGGGTTTCGCTGGGTCATTGAGAATGATGGTCAGTTTTAAGGATAGTCGAAACCAACTTCAATTTTGGGTGGTCACAATTACGCGCGCTTGCGTGATGTTGTCATACGAAACAATTATGGTAGGAAAAGGCTTGGCAAGTAAGTCCAGATCCTGGTTGAGTCCATGATTTCATGTTGGCCAACCCACCGTGGAGGATGTACATGATGTGACAAATTTTGATCAAAGAGGAGAATCCTGAACAAGATTTTTTTCACCCACCACCTTGTGCCGGAGGGAAGCCAGGAAGTGCCTGACAACAATCATTTGCGTTCATGCAAAGCAGGCTATGCATAATGACAGCGAATGATTTTCTGTTGAGCAGTCCAACGACGTCGTTTGCATGTGAGTGTCCATTTACAAAAGGTTTTTTGGGTTGAAGCATGGTCGAAAGACGTGTGCAAGCAATCAACGAATGCATTTTCCATGGCCGAGGGCTCAGTCATTAGTTTGCGATCCGTACAGCGTTTTACGTTGTCCGATGCTCACAAGACACGGTAGACAATTTTGGATCTTCGGGTTTCGAATTTTTTGACTCATTATCATATATTCATTTGGTGTAGAGCTTGACAATCAGCTGTTCTTGCGTCGCAGTCTCTGCTTTTTGGTTCCAAGTCTCCAAAACCGAACCGTAAACCCTAAGCTCTAAATCCCACGCTTTAAATCCAAAACCTTAAGCCGTAAACCACCTTGAACCCTAAATCTTAAACCCTGAGCCTTAAACCCTAAATCCTACACCCGTAGCCCTAATACCTAAACAGCCCCAAACCGCGATTTGTCAAATTCATGTAACACAGTGGTGCATTTCATGAATGTAAAGTCAAGGCCCCTACATAAACTATTTTTCCAAGGACTACGTACATGCAGGCTACTGGGCGTTGAGGAGTTTAACTTACGTTACCTTAATAAACAAAATCTTATGACCTACAATATACCCATATCATGGTAATTTGAATGAAGTTAATTCAATCCCATGTCTTGAGCCCCAAGCGGGGTATCATCCAAGCAAGCTCTGAACCCCCACCTGCGTAGTGGTTTGGGTGGGGATTTTTATGGTACCCAATATAGAGTAAGATTATATCTTCCTTTTGGTTATAGGAATTAGTATCCAAAATGTAATCTTTCCGCAGCAAGCCTTTTAAACCTTCAGTCACACGCCCGATGATTTGCTGCCTGTCGCACCAGCTTTTGCGCTGCAGCCAATCATGCCCTGGCCGCAGGCATCTTCCGGGTTTGGGGTTTGAAGTTTCGGGTCGTTTAGAAGCCTACAAGGGTAGAGGGGTTTTAGGGTTTAGGGCGTAAAAGGGGGTTAGAGTTCCGGCGAATAAAGCATTCAGGACCCATGCACGGCCTTGGCGTAAGAGGGCAAAGGTTTCCCAGAAGAATTCTAGGGTTTAGAGTTTATGCTTTGGGGGTCAAAGTTTCATCAACATCATCATCATCATCATTCTTATTCCTGTAATCGAGAATTTTCCTCAATTTTGTTGGTACAGTCGTGTGAGTACCATGATGTGGTAGAGTTGGGGCTTATGATGAGGGGAATTCCCTGGTAGTAGACTAAGCCCTGCATTTGACAAATTTTGAAATGTTCGTAATGTCAATTGCCTTTTTGTTAGTTGCTTATTCATTTATAGTAAAATGCTTAATGAGTATTGTGGTTGTAAGTATACCTTATTTGTTAAGGATATCAAAAGTAATACAAGTCTTCCACTTCGCATGGATCCCGGACAATTTAGTTTTGGTTCCCTTTCATGAAGGTGAGCGATGTGCTCCTTGAGGCGTCGAATTGTCAGGTGCCACAGCTCGGAATTTCGAGTTCCTATGTTTTTGTTGGTTGGGTGTTTCGGCCGGTTGGGGTTGGGCAGTGAGGGTTGAATCAGGTCTGCATGTTGAGCACGGGGGTCCAGGGCTTCGTGCAGGATGTGGGTTGCGGCTAGGCTGCGGGGGCAATGATTGCTAAGGGTTCAGCTTTATCGTCATTTTGGCTTGCAGGCTTCTGTGGGGTTTTCCTGTGGGGTAGCTTGAGAGGCCGCAAGCAGGCCGTAATGCTTAAAAGTAGATAGAATATGAAATTCCCAATATCATAGTAAGGTTCCCATATGCCCTGTGTTTTATCTACTTAGGGGGGACTAGATATTACTTCTGGAGCCTCAAACTCTAAACCCTGAACTCTAATGTAGGCCCCTGATTAATAACACCCTTTTTTTAAGGGCCTTATTATTAAGATCCCTCGTATAATCCCTATTTATGGGAGTGGATTTATGAATTATGAGGCTACATTAAACCTTACTCCCAACGCAAAGGGATACCGGCGCAGAGGCAAAAATAATCATACAAACTGATGGTCATATTGGCACAGCCATATGAGCTCTAGTCTAAACTGTTCAGAAGGCATCATATAGGGCTCCAATTTTTTGCTCATGACGGGGCATACTAGGAGTGTAGACTATAGCTCATTTAGAGATATGCAGGGCTTAGGGTGTAGTGATATCCTCACCCAAGCCCTGGAACTCCACAGAGTCCTTTGGTACAAAGGCCGTAGTCTGCCTAGGCCTTTTTGGGGTACTTGCCTGAGAACAGATGCATACATGCAAATAATTGTATATGTATGTATTATATACAATATTTCTATTGATAAAGATTTTGGAAAATATCTTCATATACACGCATACATACCCCCATACGTGATATCCTTATTTGTTTCCAGTTGACCCTGTACCCTATCAGAGGTTCCATGTAACTCTCAATCCTAAGCCCAAAGCCCTGAACCCTAAAACCTTCAACCCCGAACCCTTCACCCTGACAGCCTTCCAACCTGAAACCCTCAAACCTTGAGCCGTATACACTCAACCCTAAACCCTGAAGCCTTAAACCCTAGGCAGCTAAACCCGAAAACCCTAGAACCCAAGACTTAAGCCTTAACCCTAAAACCCGAGACCCTGAACCCTAAACCCGAAGCGTTAAACTTTAAACCCTAAACAATAGTTTCCATTCTATTTTCCATAATCCCAACATAACTCAATATAGCCACAATATACCCTATTATAACCTTAATTAAACCCTAAACCCTAAACCCTTAAGCTGGAGGCTTTCAAGGCTTTGTTGTACTTCCGCGGCTCTGGGCTCCGTGGGCTATTTTTGGCTCTTCCAGATTTTCGTTTCCGACCGCAGAGGCTCGAGCTCCTGGTTTAGGGTTTAGGGTTTAGGGTTTAGGGTTTAGAGTCCTAAATTAGGGTTTAGGGTTTAGAGTTTTGAATTAGGGTTTAGGGTTCAGGGTTTACGATTAGCTAGAGCTGG